GTCCCCAGAGGTGTCCCCAGTCTGGGATGGGGCAACGTGCTCTCCAAAGTGTCCCCTTTAGCCCCAACCTCCCCCCTGTTCCCAAACGCATCATCTTCTTTTTCCCCCACACTGCTCAGGAGGGTTTGATCCTCACCCCCTCTCCCCTTCCAGGGTTCCTGGTGTCCTTCCAGTGCTCCCCAGCAGTCTTTACACTGGGTGATCCCTTGGGCCAGAGAGGGGTGCTGAGAAGGGAAGGTCTCTGCGTGGGGAAATGATGGGAACGCATCAAGGGTGGGGGCTTTAGAAAAATATCTCCAAAAATTTGAGGGTGTCCCTCTTCTGTGGGCACTGAGAATTGCCTTGAAAGCCCCTCTCAGATCGTTCCTATGGGGTTTCCCATTCCTATCCTCCTCAGACAGTGCTGACCCCATGCAGGGGACCCCTGCCCACCAGTGCCCTGCACCAAAGAGATCCATGACAAACCCACATCCATTCCCATCCCCATTCCCTGACCCCTCCTGTCTCATTTTAAAGGATGCTCTGGGCTTCCCCACAACACAGTGATGCTATCCCAGCCCCGCTCCCCCCCCCCGCCCCTGTAGGATGAACCCTTCCAGCTGCAGATGGGGACCCGATGCCAATCAGGGCACTTCACCACAGTAAAGCAGCTGGCCCCATCCTGCCCTCAGCCCCATCCCTTCAGCTCCATCACTTCCCAGCCCCAACATGGGGGAGGGGGGTGAAGAAATTGCCCACTGCCGGAGGAAAGCAGCGCTGGGGAAGGGGGTGACAGCCCCGCTCCCTGGGAGGGAGGAAGGGTTCCTAACGAGGCAGCCTCAAAGCCCTAAATCATTTCATCAGCCTCCCAGCTACAGACACACGCCCAGGCTCTCTTAAAATGCTGATTCGTTGAAATTCGCCCATCTTGGCCACGCGGAGTCGAAATTTCATATTTTTCCCGTGAATCAGCCCCGTTCCCTGAAATAACAGCCCGAAAGGAGAGGGGAAATAGTCTCGCCCTGAGCTGTTCCTGATCACAGCAGACACAACAGCCGGGGGGCAGCGAGGTGTCCCCGTGCCCATGGGGCTGCAGGGGCTCCTGATGGAGCGGCGCAAACCCCCACATCCCCACTGCACCCCCCGTCCCCTTCACAGCACCACAAAAGGTTTTCAACCCCGTTCCTATGAGCATCACTGCTCCAGGGAGAGAAAAATCACTGCTCTGAGAACTGGGGGGGGAGGGTAATGGGACTTTCCTGGCTGAGCCAGGCACTTGGTGTAGTATTTTTCTCCCTCCAGGCACACGCTGCAGGGGGTGTCCTGCAACCCCTATGGGGGTATTCAGCCAATCTGTGTGCAAATTGACCCAAATTAGAGCCCAGGTGTTGCTGGTTGCTAGAGCCTGAATGCAGCCCAGGGCAAGGAGCATCCCCTGCCATGCAGGGAGGAGTGTGACAGTGAGCCCATGGCATCTTTTGGGGACAGAGGAGGATGGAGGAAGTTTGGTGCTGGGGTGTTCCCCTGACAGAAACCCCATTTAGACATGGGATCCCTCTTTGCCCACACCTGGCAGCCGTTTGTGCTGTTTCTGGGTTCTTTCTACAGGCTCTGACCTAAATCAGCCCAAACTCAGCCTCTTGCCCTGCTTGTCCCATTGGAAAAGCATCGCTCCTGCCTGTCTGTGGTTTTCCGTGGAAACCTGGGCACCAGCCCCAGCCCACCCATAGGGCAGCAGGTCCCATGGCAGCAATGTGGGGTGACGATGGTGGATGGTCCCCATTTGAGGAGGGGAAGCCTCACTGTAGGGTCTATGTCTCAGGCTGGGGGTCAGAGTTAAGGTGGGTCCTTCCCCAGAGCCCTTCATTTCTTTGACAGGGATGCACTCGGCTCCCTGGAGCGGCTGGAACTCATCAGTCACTGCACTGGGACACGTCAGGCTCCCAGCCCCTCACATGTCGCCAGCCCTACATTAAGTGCAAACAAATGGGGCGGGAGATCCCTGACAGAGGAGCCCGCCTGGATTAATTGCAGGGTATTCATCAATGATCAATTAATCAATCAATACGCACGATGGGTGCTGCAGCATTGGGTGAGCGCTGGGCTTGGGCACTGGGCACAGACAGCATCCCCCTGCACAGAAGTGAGCTGTCCCGGGGTGTGCATCCATCCCTGCGTGGTGTGGGCAATGTCCCCAAGCTGGCAATGGGGACAGCGATGGTGACACTCCATCTGTGGGCATCATGGCCATGCAAGGCTTGCTCCTGTCCCAGATCTGTGTGCCACCCAGCATGGCCATACAAGGACCGAGGAGCCCTTAACCCTCAGCCCCCCTTCAGTTCCACCGTGGCTCTGCCACATGTGGTCAATGCAGACAGGCACTCACAGACGATGCTGTTTTGGGGAGCAGCACGGGACTGTGGGTGATGTAAATCCTACAGCCCAGCCCAGCTGCCTGACAGCCTCTTCTCAGCTCTGGGGATGAAATGGGGTGCTGGCAGCCCCAGCCCTTACTGGGCATCAGCATCACCTGGTGGGCACAGCTGAGGTGTCCCCACATCGGGACTCCACAAGCAGCATTTTGGAAGGCAGGAAAAGCCCAGCAGAAAAGCATCCCAGTGGGCTGCTGGAAGCAACCACCCAGCCCTGACCTCAGAAACAATCCCTTGCCACGTTCCACTTTCATCAGGTCTTCACTTCAGTTTACCTTCTCACCTGCCCTCATTCATGACATTAGAACCAATTCACCATAACATCATCAGGTGCACCATCTCCTCTCACTGCACAGAGGGACCAAGGGTGATTTCTCCCCTCTGCACTCAGGTGATGGGATGGGGAATGAGCCACTCTGCCCAGGTCTGGCCCCCTCACCCCATCCCATCACCCACTCCCATCCCTTATGGGAGCAGCCCAAACAGCACAGTCCCAAAGCACCCATCTGAGACAGTGCCCAGCTCCACTCCCACCCCCAGGCAGCACCAAAAGCAAGTTCATTGTTTGAAAAGCCATCAGTCAAGGCCCGCTGGCTAAAATTACCCTCCTGCTTTATCATCTTGAGAACATTAAGGGCTGTTGTTAACAGATGTTTCGCGTTACACATTATTTGTTAGTCTAATGAAAGGAGGTGAACAAGCTTTCAAGACCTCAGAAGTTGTGTGGAAGAGTTTGATGGGACGCTGCACCACTCCGGGGGATGATGAGGATGAGGATGGGGACAGGATGGGGATGAGGATGGGGACAAGGATGATCCCTCACTGCCTCTTTGGCACTCCTTCCACTGCCGAGCAGTGCAGCTCTTGGCCTGCATCTGAGAGGGGAAAAAGATGTGATGGTGGAGAGGAAGATGAGGGAAAATGCCTTCACTTGAGGATGCCCGTAACAGAGAATGTTACGCTCCTCTGTTGTCGTCACACCGTTGCCAGGAGCGTCGCAGATACAAATGCTGTGTGGTATTTATGATCCTTGTCTTGGTTTAGGAAACTGCATCCCAGACTCTGGGCAGTGGGTCCCACAAGCTGAGGCTTGCACCAACACGGGTTTTCTTGCTCCATTTCCTCGTTCATCCTCCTGCAGGCTGCTTGCAGTTCCCATCGCTCAGGCATCTCCATTTGGGGTCACAAGAAACGCTTCCACTCCTGACTGTGTTGTTGGTGCATCCCAGATGCTCACAGTGTCTTCATCCCCGTAACTTCACAGAAACAGGTGCCAGAGGGGAATATTGTCCAGTGATGCCAAACCCCAAAAGGCCTCTGTCCCATGAGGAATGGGCTTTTAGGGGTAAAAAATGGCCTTGGAAGGATCTGCCAGATTTCCAAAAAGCCACACTATGCCGTGCTGCATGCAGCCCCCCCCCCCCCCCCCCCCCTTCAATTGTACAGTCCCATTCACAGCCCCACAGTCCCAAAGGCAATGCGGGAAGTGCAAACAAAACCCAAGGGAAGGGGAGGAAGGATGGGAAACAACACCAAAAATCTCAGCTGCCAGTCCCGAAATTGGCACCCAGCCATCAGTATCCCAAGCAGGGGGCAGAGTTGGGGTTCTGGTTGTGCTGGGAATAAGATGTGGTTGGGAAAAGGATGCTTCTGACCCTAATCAGAACGTGGGAGTGCTGGAGGGAACACAAGGATCACCGTACTCCCCCTGGGGTCCCCTCACCGCAGCTCTGGGGCTGCAGCATCCCTCTACACCGGGTCAGGCCCACGGCACAGCCAACAGCGTCCCGGAGATGGGGCCCAAATCCCAGTCCAAGGCAGGTTTGGGGGTCCTGGGTCCGAGCTGGGGGCAGGCAGAGGGTCTGCACTTCCACCCCTTCCTCTCTTCCACCACCCTACAACCCGAGGGAGCTCTTGGGAGCCTCCAGGTGCCCCCGGAGCGGGGCTTTGCCTCAGGGTCGGGGCCAACCTTCTCGCTCCGGAGCCAGGATGCAGCCGGGTGAAGCGGGTTTGTCCCTTTCCAAAAGTGCCAGGACCGAAAGCAGCGAAACCCGGAGCACCGGCGCACTGCCCATCCCCAACCAGGCTCCTATCCGCCCCGAGGGGAGCGCTCGGACAAAGGCAGCTCCATGCCGGTGTCCCGGTGCCAGCGGCGGGGACCCGCAGCTTTCATTTCCACCGGTCCCACCGAGCCGCCTCCGCTCTCGGAGCCCGAGAACAGGGGCGGGGAGCGCCGAGAGGGCCAAGCAGCCCCGGGACGTACCGGGAGCTCGGCACCGTCCTGTCCCGGTGGCGGCGGGGAGGCGGCCGATGCGGTGCCCGCGTCCCCCCGTCCCGCCCGTCGGGTGCTTTCGGTGTTCCGGCGGTTCCGATCCCACAGATATCCCAAATCCACCCCCACAACCCACGGGGTCGGTGCCCCCACAGCAGCCCCCATCCCACATCGGGGGGACCCGGCGCCCCTTTGTCCCCTGCGTTCAGCCCGGCCCGGGGGGGGGGGGGGGGGGGGTGGGAGGGGGGGCAGCGGGGCCACCCTACACCCCGAGACTGCGGGTAGAGGGGGGCCCATCCCGGGACGTCCGTACTCACCGTCCTGGGGTGCCGCCTCGCTGCCGCTGCTGCCTCCCGACGGCTCCGGCATGGCCTTACCGCCGGCGGAGGGTGGGGGGCCGGCGGGGGGGGCCCCGTTCATCCCGGCAGCCACCTCCTCCAGGTCGAGGAGATGGCTCACGCTGAAGTTTTTCCGGCTCTGAGGGTTTTCGGGCGGCTCCGGAACGCGCACGGTGCTGGGGGCGAACGGTTTGTCCATGGCGAAGGCTGGCGACGAGTCCATGTCTCCCACCCCCACCGGCCCGCAGCCCACCCCGAGGTGCCGGGCCGCTCCCCGGCCCCTTCCCCTTCTCCGATCCCCACCAAATAATAATAAAATAATAATAATAATAATTAAAAAAATAAAAAATAAAAATCCCGGCTGCCCTGCGAGTCCGGCTCCCTCCCCAGCCCCTGTTCCGCCTTGTGCTGACGTCTGGGGAAAAAACCACGCTCCCAGCCCAAACTTTCTTCCCCTGCTCTTTGCTCTGGAGCTGTTCAAACAAACGCCCCTACACCGAGCGGGGCGGCCCCTCGCCCCCCGGTACAACGACCCCCGGGGTGGGGGGGAATCACCCCCTGCGCATCCCCCCCCTCCAGCCCCGCTTTAAGTGCTTCTCTCAACAAGTGTAAGTGGCTGCGCTCCGTGGGGAGTGCTGCGCTTCCCCGACTCCAAATGGGGCTGCGAACGGGTCACCCCAAATGGTGACCCTCCGGGCCCACCCCTCCACCTACATCCCACCCTCCGGGCCCCCATCAACCCCGGAGCGAGGTCAGCTCCGCTGGGAGCAGCCTGGCTCTCTCCCCTTAATGAGATAATTACGTCCTGCACCGCAGTTACAAACTCATAGGCTGCTTCCCTTGGGGTTAGAGAGAGAAACCTCCCTAATGAAAACCAGCCACCGGGCAGGGGAAAAAGGAGGTTTTCCTCTTTAAAAATTCGATATTTAGAGGTGTGTGTGTGTCGATGTGTGCGTACGTAGGGACGGAGGAGGCGGCGTGTCCGGCTGCGGGGCGATGGGCAGCGGCGGGAGGCTGAGCACCGCTCCTCGGATCCCCGCATCCCCCCATCCCACACCCCGCGTCCCCCTCTCACCGCCTCTATCTGCTCCACGCGCAATTTCCGAGCTCGCAGAACCCTTTCCCACCCATCCCGGCCCCCGGAGGAGCTGTTTTAACATTGGCCGAAAGCTTTCCTTGCGCTCTTTCCCTTGGAGCAGAGAGGGGCGCGCATTTCGATGCAATCCGGCGCTGCCAAATCTGATCTTCCTGACAAGGCAGCGGCTTCCCGGAGCTCCGCAGATCGCGGCTGAAGGCAAATTTTGGCAGTCTGCGAGTCCGCTGTGTGCGTGTGGGGCTCCCAGGGTGCCCACCCCCCCGCCCCCCTCCCGCTATTGACGTTTATTGGCCCCAGTGTTTGGCCCCGGGGTTGCGTTGCAAGGCTGCAGCCCCGGCGTCCCCTCGGCTGTGTGACCGCAGGGATGGTGGCACCGGCACCCTCGGTCGTACATCCTCTCAGCCCCACTAAAACCATCTCTTCCCAGCACGGAGGTGATGCCGCAGGAGGAGCAACGCGGCCCCGGAGCGCGGGGTCCCACCATCAATGTGACAATGGCTTCTGCTGGGGGGCAGCCCCGTGGCCAACACCTCCCCCCCCGCCCCATCTGCTTGTCCAGAGCCGATGTCTTTCCTTCCATCCGCAGCATTAAATAATTAAAAGGAGGGAATAATCACCAGCAAAACCCCCTCGGGTTCGCACTTCCTCAGGCCCTCTGACGGCCGATATTTTTTTGGGTGAAATACGACCTTTTTATTTATATATATATATATTATTATTTTTTTTGTAACGATCAAAGGGGATCAGAGCTCCAAAGGAAAAAAAGAAAAAAAAAAAAAAAAAAAAAAAGAGGCCAAGCGTTTTCTTTTCCCCAATCCTCACAGCCCGGTGAAGTTTCTTTAGACACGCAAAGATTTACACACCTTTCTGCGGGGTGCCTGCAGTTCCCCGCCACTCCTCACGCATTTCCACGGGCAGGACAGGAACAGTAAAGCATTGAGAAACCAGGCGGCCTTCAGCCGTAGCCCTGTCGGCCCTTCAGAGGGTGAGCGCCTAATGGCTTTTTTTTGAAGTAGGGGTCAAGGTTGGGCTTGCTTTTTTTTTTTCTTTTTCTTTTTTTTTCATCCCCCTTTTTAAATAAAACAATCTGTATTAATGCAATTTCCTTTTTAGCTGTAGGATTTAACTTCTACTTCTTTTTTTTTTGGGGGGGGGGGGGGATTGAAAAATGAGTTTTAAGTGATTAAAACTGGTGCTGGCTAAAGGAGATCCTGGCACAGAGGAGAGCATTGGGCGGAAACTGAGCCAAGCACGTTCACTGCACCTAACCCTGAGTGCATGGGCTCCGATCCCACACTGCGGGGCACAGCAGCACCGACCCATTGCGATGCTGTCTGTGCTCCTTGGCGTGTTTCCTTCTTCGTTTTTTCCCACCTTAAAACGGAATGAATGCAGTGAATTGAGGCACAAATCGATGCTCCTTTGTGTCTTCCCAGCAGCGGTGTCACACTGCGGGGGCAACTCGAGGGGCAGGGGCTGCAGTGCCTTTGGTGGCATTGCACACCCCCAGCCCCACAGGAAAGTTTCTCCCCCAAACCCCTCATTCCCCACTTTCCATCTCCTTCTTTCACTCCTTCCTTCTCCCTCTCTCTTTCTTTCCCTGCCAGCAATCCCAATCCCAGATGAACCAATACTCCGTGGCTCTGCTATTTCCCTTTTATTCCCCCCCCCTTCAGCAGCGAGATGGGAAAAGAGTGAACTACAAAAAAAAAAAAAAAAAAAAAAAAGAAAGAAAGAAAGAAAGAAAAAAAAAATCAAAGCTGCACATATTGGATCCAGATGTGCTTGCAGCCCTTTCCAGCAATTTAATTAAATTCCCCCAGACAGCCAGGAGGATTTCTTAATGATCAAATTTCCCTGGCTTTCCTCCTAAAATGCCCCTCTTTCTTCGGCTCGCCGCTGCTCTGTCTCCCTGATGGATGGCAGCTCACATTCCTCCCCGCCGCCCCGCCGGGTGCTGCCAGCAATGGCACAGCCGGGCACCAACAGCGAGCGGTGGCACCGGGCTGTGGGTACGGGAATGGGGGAGGAGGGGAAGGATCATCTGTGGGGGATCGGGGTTTTTGGCATTGCTGGGGGGGGGGCACAAAGAGGGCACAAGGGGACACAAGGAGGACACAACAGGGACCCGAATGGGATGCGGTGAGGACACGGTGTGGATGCAGCGGGGATGTGGCAGGGATGTGGTGGGCACACAGCAGGGACACAATGGGGACATGGATGGGACACGATGGAGATAATACAGGGACATGGCAGGGGCACAACAGGGTCACAGCAGGGACATAGCAGGGGCATGGATGGGACATGATGGAGGCACTGCAGGTGGGTACACTACACAGACATGGCTGGGGCACAACAGGATCACAGCAGGGACATAGCAGGGACGTGGCACGGACACAAACAGGGACAAAAACAGGGATACAAACAGGGGCACAGCAGGGACAGAGCAGTGCTACAGCATGACACGATAGAGACATGACAGGGCCACAGCAGGGTCACATTAGGGATGTAACAGGGACACCCACTCACAGCACTGCCTTCTAAATGATTTCTTCCCTAACAGTGCCTGGTGGGGGATGGACCTGCCTGGTGCCTTGTGCTGCCAAATGGCTGGGGATGGTGACAGTGCCCACCACCTGCACCACGGTCTGGGGAACACGGAGGGATTGGGGATGGGAGCAACACCGGATGTGAGCATGGTGCCGAATCCCCAGCAAGGGGAGCTGATAGATAGCCCATGGGTGCAGTGCGGGGGGGGGGGGGAGGGGGCACCCACTGCCCCATGGCTGCAGTAGGGGGCGCCTTGGAGACATGAGGGCACCTGCACCTTTGGGTGCTCCCTGGAGGGCGATGGGGGGTGCGTGGGGCTGCAGGGCCGTGCTGCACACCTGCACGCATCCGGTATGGCGTGGACAGAACCAGAGCCATTGAGGGCAATGGGACGGGGCTGTCACTGCTAGGGGGCGAGATGAGCATCTGTGCACTGGTGTGCGTGTGCACTGGTATGCATGCACCCGCTTGCAGGCATGCATCATGCACGTGAGAACAGCTGTGGGTGCGTGCACCTCTTGCACACCGCATTTCGCTGATGCATGTGGGGCATGTACACACCTGAGGCGTGTGTGTGCGCGTGTGTGTGTCTGTGTGCACGTGTGTGTGTGTGCGCGCGCGCGTGCACGCGCGTCTCGCGCCCACCAGCACCTGCTGCGCGCGCCCCCGCCCCGCTGCCGTTCTCCCGCTGCCCCCTGGCGGCCGCGCGCGCAGTAGCCCCGCCTCCAGATAGGCCACGCCCCTCGTTAGACCGCGCCCACCGCCAGGCCCCGCCCACAAAGTGACGAAACTGGTGACTTCCGCTTCCGGCGGCGGGGCCCCGAGGTGCTGGCGGAGCGACGGTGTTTTGTGTCGCTGCCTTCGGGCTTCGTTCCGCGGGGCCGGCTTGGGGCCTCCGGGACGGCCCGGTGGGTTCTGCCGGCGCTGCCTCGAGGTTCTGGAGGGGTGGGGTCGGGAATTTTGGGAGCGAGAGAAGTGATGTTTTTTAAAACGCAAAGCTATTCGAAATTCGTGTTTGTTTTCAGAGGGGCGGGCGGCCCCGTGGAAACCAGGCCCGGGTCGGCCTGAATGTGGACAGGCGGGCCCTGCGGGGCTGGTGTGCAGAGCAGAGTGCTGCAGGATGCCTTTCCTGCACGGCTTCCGCAGGATCACTCTCGAGTACCAGCCCTTGGTGGATGAGATCTTGGCGTTGCTGGCGCTGCAGGATGCAGAAAGGCAGAATGCACTTGAAAGGTAACTGACCGGGCTGCAAGCAGAGCTCTGAGGATGAACACCTGCTTGATGGTGGTGGCTGGAGCTCTGCAACTTCGGCACTGGAGCAAACCCTGTCTCACTGAGCATCTTTTTCTGAGGGCCATTCTCCTTCTATCCTTTGGGAATGCAGGATGGAGCAGAACAAATGTGAGGCTGTGTGTGCTCCTCAGGAACAGGCTGACCCACAGCAACAAAAACTCACTAGGGTTTCAGCTGCACTCCAGTACTGCTGTATAACCCTATAGCCAGCAGTTTACAAGAGAACAGGAAAAACCTTGGCTTTTTCTCCCTCCCTGCTTTGACCCTTGCAAGCCCATAGGAGACACATACTGCCTGGGTGAGTAACTGGTTATTTTCATTCATTTCCAGTCATGCCTGCCTGGGCAGCAATGGAAGCCAGCTCTCAGCAATGAGACAAGTCTTGGAGAGGGAAGCCCACTCCCCATTCTACCAGGAAGGTGTGAGCTATACCTTGCTGAAGGTTACTGAGCTGGGGCTTGTCGAGGCTGCAGAAGTACTCCTGGAGTTTGGTGCAGACCTCAGCTTTGAAGGTATGGCTGTGGGAAGGGCACTGTGCTTGACTGCTCCTTGGGCTGGCTGGGAGGGGCTGGGTGGTGAGAAGCTGCCCCTGCAAGGCAGAGATAGCTGGGACAAAAAGGGAGGGGTGCTGCTGGCTCTGGCCTCAGGCTCCCACTACTGGATTTGATAGATTAGATGTGCCTTATCTAAATCCAGCTATAAGAATGGGCTGGAGGGTGGCCAGAGAATGGGAGCCATCTTT